CAAGCTAGGAAGGCCCGGAAGAAAGCTGAACAGTATTTCCGTCGCCATCCTATGGTCCACAATTTAAATAAGTTCAAAATTTTAAACGCTAAAAGCAAGGCGTACTTTTAAACAAAACAAACGTCAGTCTTGGCAAAATTATGTTTCAAAAATACATTCACGCACGCCAATGTCAAAGGTATGGAACATGATCCAGAAAATCAAAGGTAAGGGTTCTAAATCTAGCATTCACCATCTGAAGATGGGAATCAATTATTGACTAATAAATCAGATGTGCCAACAAGCTTGGTGAGACTTTAGCCAAACATTCTTCCTCATCTAATTATGTACCTGCATTCCAAACATATCAAAACAGCAGGAAAAGAAATCTATTAATTTCAATTCAGACAATGGGGAAGACTACAATGAAACCTTTTCGATACATGAGCTTCATACTGCTCTTGACCAAGCTCACGATACTGCTTCAGGGGCTGATGGTATACATTATCAACTCCTGAAGCACTTCTGCCTGAATCATGTTTAGAGACGCTCCTATCTATTTTTGATGACATTTGGACATCTGGTCAATTTCCTTCGTCGTGGCGTGATGCTATTATTGTGCCCATCCCTAAACCTGGACGTGATCATACTGATCCTTCCAGTTATAGGCCAATTTCATTAACTAGCTGTGTTTGCAAGACCATGGAACGCATGATAAATAATCGACTTGTTTGGTACTTGGAAACAAATAACCTTATAACTAATATACAATGTGGTTTCCGTAAAAACCGTAGTACCATCGATCATTTAGTGCGCTTAGAATCTTTTGTGAAAAATGCCATAATTAATAAACAACATGCAGTGTCGATCTTTTTCGATTTAGAAAAAGCATACGACACAACATGGAAACATGGGATTTTAAAAAGATTTACATGACTTTGGATTACGAGGCCGTTTGCCTCAATTTATATCCAACTTTTTTAAATAACAGGCAATTTCAGGTCCGAGTGGGTTCAACCCTGTCTGACCATTATAATCAGGATCAGGGAGTCCCGCAAGGCAGTATTTTGTCTGTAACACTCTTTAGCATCAAGATTAACAGTTTATCAAAGGTTTTAACTGATTCAATTGATGGATCACTTTTGTGGATGATTTTAATATTTCTTGTCGCGGTAAGAATATGCATACTATTGAACGGCAAATGCAGCTGTGTTTAAAATAAAATACATAACTGGTGTCTTGAAAACGGCTTTAAATTTTCTAAATCCAAAACTAATTGTATACATTTTTGTAGAAAATATAAACCGCATAAAGACCCGGAACTGTTCCTCAATGGCACTCCCATCAAAGTTGTAAAGGAGGCCAAGTTCTTGGGTTTAATTTTTGACTCGCATCTAACTTTTCTTCCCCATATCAAGTCCCTAAAGACTAAATGCTTGAAGGCACTTGACTTGTTGAAAGTCGTTTCCAATTCTAAGTGGGAGGGATCAAACTACCCTCCTCCAACTATATCGATCATTGGTACGTTCCAAACTTGATTATGGCTCCATCGTTTATGGTGGAGCCTGCAATAAATCTAAAACTTTTAGATTCTGTCCACCACCAAGGTCTCAGACTATGTCTTGGTTCCTTTAGAACTTCACCTGTTGACAGCCTTTACGTCGAGGCTGATGAGCCATCTCTTACACAACGCCGTATAAAATTAACTTTACAGTATATTACAAAACTTTATTCCAATGAGTCAAACCCTGCATATAACTGTGTCTTTACTCCACTATATGAAGATCTGTATAACAAGAAGCCTTCTCTTGTTCCGCCTCTTGGTATAAGAGTGAAACCTTTCCTTTCTGCTGCTGGGATTGAGCTAGAACATATAGCTCCTTCCCGTTTTCTTTCTTCTCCGCCTTGGCAGTTGGTTAGGCCACAAGTTGATCTAACATTAACTACATTTAAAAAATCAGAAACAAACGAGTTACAGTATAAACAAGAATTTAGTCAATTAAGAAATAAATATAACACATACAAATCCTTATTTACAGATGGGTCCAAGGATGGTGGCGCAGTGGCATGTGCCACTGTCATTGGATCCCGAACAATATCTTCTAGAATACCGGATAACAGCTCTATATTTACAGCAGAAGCTAACGCCATCTTAACAGCTCTTAAATATATTAATAAACACCGTAAATTTAAACAATATATCATCTTTTCAGATTCTCTTTCGTGTCTTCAGGCGATTAAAAATCTTTCTTGCAAACATCCACTTTTATTAGAAATTATTGAATTGTACAGTGAACTTGCTACTGGCCAATGCGACATCGTCTTTTGTTGGTTACCCAGCCACGTTGGCATTTCTGGGAATACAATGGCCGATCTTGCTGCTAAGGCAGCACTCAACAAATCTGTGACACCACTTCTAATTCCATACTCTGATTATAAAGCCAGCATTAGAACATACATCCGCGATCTGATGCAGAAGAAGTGGGACACCCAAGTAGGTATTAATAAATTACATGCAATAAAACCCTACATTGGTTACACCTACTTGGGTTGTCAGTCCAGATTTGAGGAGGTCATTATGCGACGATGTCGCATTGGCCATACCAGATATACTCACGAATATTTATTGAAAGGCGAAGATCCTCCGTTTTGTATCCCTTGTGATGAAAGAATCACAGTCAAGCATGTCCTGCTTGACTGCGTTGAATATTCCATCACAAAGGGATAAATATTTAATGTCAAAACACTGAAGGATCTTTTTTATAATGTTAATTATCATTTAATAGTTGAATTTTTAAAAGAATTAGATTTGTTGACAGATCTGTAAATAGCTAAATATTTTATTGTTGGTAGTTTATATTAGTAACTGAGATTGTTAGTGGCTGTACCCTCAAAGGGGGTTGAAGTATTGTAAAATTATTGTCCTCCTGAGAGGGTACGTAAGTCCCCAAATGTTCAAAGTCTATTTAAACTTGCCAGGATTTTTAAACGTAGCATTTTTGTCATTTTAATTTTGGCTAACATTTCTTCCAATCGCCAGCAGCTGAAGGGATGGTGTAAAATCCAACTAGGGTCCATGCAGGTAGCAAAGGTACTGTAAGTCCCCATGGACCCTAGTATGGTGATCTACATTCTGTTGTTGGCGATCTATAGCCTGATTTTATATTGTATTGTCCCAATAGTGCTATTAGTTTTAAACTTTCCACACTAGTTTTAATTCTATTTGTGATAAACTAGTTGTTTTACTGTCCTTCGTCGACAGGTTTTTATAATGTACATGTGTTTCATTTCAATATCAAATGTTCTCGTCACGATATGGCTGAAATATTGCCGATGTGACGTTAAGTATTAACTCACTCACTCACTAATAATCTTTAAGGTACCGTCCATGAACCACTGCCTACTCGTACTTAAGTGCTGTAATTGTCGGTCAGTGGCAAACACTAGATGCCTCTCGCCTTTGTTTCCTCCGTCACACCGAAAGAAATCATCCGGCAGGAAGGTTTCAACTAACTGAAAGTAGAAAACAGAACCATTACACATGTATTACACAATAGTGTTTATTTGAAATATATTAAAATATACTTAAATAATTACTACACTGGATTTTACATAACAATATCACAAACCTCAAAGTCCAAGGACCTAGGTTCCTTCGGCCGAAGGAGCTCCCTCGTACGGTTGGCCATCCGTACTAGGGTAGCTTGGTTTTGTCGTCCACCAGGCTTGTCAGGGTTGATATGTTTCTGTTGGCGCCTGACTTGTAGATGTTACCCACAGCATTTTCCTTCACCTGCAGAATATATAACAATTACACCATTACACAGGCCGATTAACACACTGCTCAATTAAAGGCCAGTTAACAATCTACTAAATTATTAAACAAACACGATAAATACCTCCACTCTCACTCGGGTGCTGTCAAATGGCCTGGTTGGGGTGGATGGCAATGGTGGTGTTCAAATGAAGCCCCAAACTGAATAACAGATGCAGGCCACGTGGTCGTCTTGTTCCTGACACTGCAGCGCCGGTACGTTCGAGCAGTCGTTGATTTCTGTAACCGTGATGACATTCAACTTATTTATATATTATGCATTTATTACTTATACATTATTTATTATATATAACATTTATGAAGTTATATATTTAGGAAAAAGTGTCATCTGTACTTACCCGAATGACATATGTGAATCCATATGAATCGGCGAGCTTCTTTTTTCCTTTCTGAGAACCAATCTCCACGATTGTGAACACGTTGTCCGGGATATCAGCAGTAGGGGGGTCGAGGAGGGTGCTGTCTAACATGGATCGTTCCGAAGAATGGTGGAAATCATGATCGTCTTGTGGTGGCAATGACGCTGTGGAAGTATTGATGTCAGACATGTCGGAAAATTCTGTATTCAGATTAACTAATGACAAATAAGATTTTCCCAATAATTAAGATTTTATTTGGTGCCGTTTTCGCCATAAGATGTGTAGCCGTTTTCGCCAAGTCGAGGTTCCGTTATGTCCAAATGGTTCCGGTTTCACCAGGTGCCGTTTTGCTGTGGTAGCCTGAACCCATTCAGGGTATGTAAGTAGCTACATTAAGCCTTTACAAACCTTTGTGTTCCTCAGTGCGCTTGCATATGCAATTCTGAGCCTGTTTTGAGTGAGTGAGTTTAGTTTTACGCCGCAATATTCCAGCAATATCACGGCGGGGTACACCAGAAATGGGCTTCACACATTGTGCCCATGTTTGGAATCGAACCCGGATCTTCAGCGTGACGAACGAACGATTTAACTACTAGGCTACCCCACCGTCCCTGAGCCTGTTTTGATTTTGTTTGTTTGTTGTTAAGAAATATTCAAGCGATATGCCTATAAATATAGCTATAAATAAACGAGCCTGGACCAGACAATCCAGTGATAAACAGCATGAGCATCGATCTACGCGACTGGGATACGATGTGTCAACCAAGTCAGCGACATTGTATGCTTCCTTACTTCGATCAGTAACAAAGACACATTAATTTCAAAAGGGCAATTCTGGCACATCACGGACCATCATTTCGACCCAACATACTGGTCTGAAATGCGGTCCTGTAATGACAAGGTTCCGGTACGTGGTATCTACGGCGACTACTGGTGCGACTCTCCATGGCGCCTCGTCAACGACAGCGTCGCCGCAATGGCCAACGTTAAACGTGACGTCGATTTCATCGTCTGGACAGGGTATGTTTCTTCTTTTTCACATGACCCGTGAAGGTCCGGGTTAAAATGTGCCTTCAGTAACCCATGCTTGTCGTAAGATGCGACTAACGGGATCGGGTGGACAGGCTCGCTGATTTGGTTGACACATGTCATCGGTTTCCAAATGCGAAGACCGCTGCTCATGCTGTTGATCACTGGATTGTCTGGTCCAGACTCGATTATTTACAGACCGCCGCCATATAGCTGGAATATTGCTGAGTGCGGCGTAAAACTAAACTCACTCACTCACTAATTCTTTTTACCTATTTTCTTGTCATTGTCTTTATTTTGTTTTACTGTGTGATGTTCTATCTATATACTTCCGACAAAAACAAAGGAACTGATGACATGATGCTGTAATGACAATAATGGTAAAATACATTTCCGGCTTGTTGATCACTACCTAGTATTTCCACCATGTTGGGCGATACATGCACGAGAACTTTATGACATACCGCTGCTCTTTCGTATCGTGAGTCATAGAGCCCAAATCGTATCTGGGCCACGTTGGTAGGGACTGGGTCTCTGGTTTTCAATTTCCACAAGATAACCTCTCATGTCTTAGGAGTGCAATGGCTAGTGCAATGTCATTGTGGCTTCTTGTCGCAAGTAATGACTTGGTCTGGATTTGTCATATTTGCATTTCAAAATCTATGCTGATATTTCAGCAAATGCATGAAAACCGAAATGCACGAAGCCGTGACTGTCCCATCGTGGTAAAACAGTGTTGCTCTTGCATACTGTTCGCCCCTACGTTGCCAAAGACGTTTTCTGCCATCTGTGGATCGTAGGCAAAACCATAAATGACCTATTAACATGCTGAAACGCCATGGCAAACAACATGTCACTGGTGTTGCGTATCCTACTCCAATCGTAATCGGGCTCAGGGAACATAAACAATCATCGAGGGTACATCAGCCCATGTCCCCCTCGAGACCAGTGAACAACGTATTTATCTTACCAAAGACCTCAATGCTAACTTTGAACTGTTTGAAGCACGGGTATCGGATCATAGTATGGAGTACCAGACGACAAGAAACAAGACGATTTGCATTCGCAAAATATCGGCAATTTCCGTACATCATACGTGATTCAATGTAATTCGATATAAAGAGTCACTACTATGAAGTACCAAATGATTTCGGCATTCCCAGCGGGGTACATAGAAAATGTTACTCGCTTGTAAGCAGGGTACATTGAAAATAATAGAGCGCTCAGCCAATCAGAAAACGACATTTATGTGCGACACAAGATAAGGTCATTTGTTATGGTCACATTCTTCACAGGACGCCTTGCTTCGAGGTGGTCTGCATAGAGCTGATTTTGACGGTAGAGGATGACTTCGCCTTTCTGGTATTCCATGGAATTCTCTACTGATAAAAGGATCAGATTTTAATCTTTTACGGAGTACATTCAACATAAGGGGACGATCTTGTCTGGCTGGTCAAACAGTGGAATACTACACTTCTTGATTTCCCAAACATTCGTGCAACTTTGAATAATGACGTTTGAAAAGACTGCCATTCATGCAAGTAGGCATGATTTATTGAAAGACGCCTTCCCTCGGTAAATTCCGGTGTGCAATCTTGATATTTTCAGCGTAATATAGACGTTTGAAAAAGCATTGGGAAGACACCGAAACAGTACATGATTGTATAAACACATTTAATTTAATAGGAGGTTCAAATTCAGACTGCACCCGAAGGATGTACACAAATATGCAATAATACAAAATGAAATTTCAATTAATACGCCCCCAGATCAATCAAGCTCTTTGAACATGCATGTGTATGTGCATGTACATGTGCGTGTGTGCGCGTGATTGTGTGAATCCACTGGACACCATGGGTTGGCGGTCTTGTGAAACTTTAAGTCGGCTGTCAACTCTCGTATAAGTCGAAAATAAGAAACACAATCCTTACACGTTGAAACCATGTCTGTGTGTCTATTGGAGATATGGAGTATATCAGCGTGACAAACTTGTAACTCTCGTATCCTATTCTGTCCATTTACGTGAGCAGAAAATACCTGATTGTGTATTTGGTACATATGTAGTCTCAATACTTGCAAACTATCACGCGTAGTCAAAGCTGTCTTTCGGTGCAAAACAAAGCAGTAGTCATGTACATTCCATGAAATATCACAAAATTGACTTACCGGTTCATGATGATATTAAGCCATAGAGTAAAGAAGTTATGCTATGACGAGAGTCCAAAAAAGTCCTGTCACTCAAGGGCAGAAAATATCCACACTGTATCAGTCAGGTGGCCAGAGGAGGTGCTTTTCCATAGAAACAAACCTGTGAGTGGGATATAAGTTTCACTCTTGGGCAGATAATATCTACACTGCTGAGGAGTAGCCAATGGGAGAGTAATTGGAAACCCATGGAGTTTTCTTTAGGTTTTCACTCCGGCCTTTAAGTTGAATACTGTAGAGGCAGGAGAGCAACCCCACGGGTTTCCGTTACTCCCCCATTGGCTACTCCTCAGCAGTGTAGATATTATCTGCCCATGAGTGACAGGACTGTAACAGCTATGGGTGCCTGGCAAGAGCCTGGCGATATCAAAAGTTAACCTTGGAATGTACGACTTGAATTAATATGTGTCCATGTCCAACAACCCTTTCGCTACATATTATTCATTTGATTAACAAATATAAAATTTCAAATTTTACATATTTACTGAAAATAAAATGGTGATATCAGCATCAACTACGTGCACAACCCTAACCCTGCACAGCATGGGGTCAGGGGAGTGGGGAGGGGTCATTTTCACAGCCTGCCTGAAATATGAAACCCTGATTGAAACTTTGAACCCACTCACTGGTTAGTTTCTATGGAAACCTCTTCTGGTCACCTGACTGATATGTGGGTAATTCAAATCTAGATTTAAATAAGAGAAATACATTTTCAAAATGGATGTTTTGTACGCGTACGTTTTACAGTCAGCGTTCATGACATGCTTCTTTACATTATAGTTTAATTTCATCATGAACCGGTGTGTGAATATTGTGGTATTTCATGGAATGTACTTGAATACTGCATTGCTTTGCCTCGAAAGACAGCTTTGACAAGGCAAGGAGGTCACCCCCCACCTGTGTATAGGTTTGAACCGCGGTCTTTAAGGTCAGTGCGGTAGTTAAGAATATATATATTCTTCTGCTACGTTACATCAGGGATAACGTGGCCCACATACAGAACCAGTTTCTCAACCAAAGCCTAAACTTGAAGATCATCGAGAAGATAACAGACGCCTTAAAGTCCGAGTTTCCAGGTGTCCCAGTTTACGGCACGATGGGCAACCATGACTGGTACCCCGCTGACCAATTCCCGGTACAGCAGGCGTTCCTGTATAACGCTACAGCTGAACTGTGGAGAGACTGGATCGGGGACAAGGAACAGATCGAGAACTTTAAGAAAGGTAATACAATTTGGAATCGAAGACGTCACAATTCTATTATATTTCTGTTTTATTTTTTCAATTTTATACCCCACCCCAACCAAAACATTCACAACTTCATCTTATAATCGACAATAAGATTACAGAATATATACTTACGGCCAAAAGAAACTTTACAAATATATAAATGAAATAATTGGAATGAAAAGTTGTTCTAGCTCTGTTCTCTCTCTTCGGCGGTAAACGTGTTGTCTTCTATCAGCCCTGAACAAGGTGAACCTGCTCTCGTTACTGAAGACGACCCTCTGCCAGTCACGTCGCTGCCAATGACGTACAGTTTGGGCCCATGTCTAAAGCATGTCCTGCTTGACTGTATTGATTTTTCCATCACAAGAGATAAATATTTTAGTGTCAAAACAATTAAGGATCTTTTTAATAGTGTAAATTATCCTTTAATAATTGGTTTTTAAAAAGAAATAGAATTATAGGATAAATTTTGAACAATAAGTTTTGTAAATAGATAAATGTTACTACATTGGTAGTATAAATTAACTGCGATTGTTAGTGGCTGTATCCGTAAAGGGGGTTAAAGCATCGTAAAATTATTGTCCTCCTGAGAGGGTAGGTAAGTCCCAAAACTTTCAACGTCAATTTCGCTCAACCATACTTTTTAATCGTAGTATTTTTGTTATTTTAAATTTTGGCTATATCTTCCTACCATTGCCAACGGCTGAAGGAATGGTGTCAATCCAGCTAGGGTCCATGCAGGTAGTGAAAGTAATGTAAGTCCCCATGGTTCCTAGTATGGTGATCTACCTCAGCTGTTTTATATTGTATTGTCTTCTTTAGTTAAAATGTTTTAGTTTTACATGCAAGTTTTATATGCATATCTGTGATACTCTAGTGTTTTTACTGTCCATCGTTGACAGGTTTTACTCTTCAAAATGTTTTCATGTTTTATTGTACGAATTGTTTTCGTCACGATATGGCTGAGATATTGCCGATGTGACGTTAAATATTTACTCACTCACTCGGGCCCATGTCAGTCTCCGACGACGATGTTCAGCGGTCAGTAACTGTCCTCGTAGTGGTCGACATTCTCTAATACCATGAGCCCGGAGTTGCCTGCTGACAGTCAATGGATCTAAGGTTTTCGTCGCTGATGACGTCACTGTGAGGAATAGGAGGTGTAAGGTGCTTAGATACCGGTCTTCGTTAGGGGTAGTAACTCTGGGTCTATCTGATCTTGGTCTGTCTGAGATCTGCCCAGTCTGTCGGAAACGTTGCATCAACTTGGTTACAGCAACAAGTGAGCAACTGAAGATCCTTGCAATGTGGGCGTGGGTGGCCCCGATCTTGACCATTCCGATGGCTCGGTCTCGCTCTGCAGCTGTAAGGCGTGGCATTTCTTTGTATTTGTCTATTGCAGTGAATGATGGGCAAGCCTTCAAACCCCTTTTTATACCCACCATGCACGTGCAGTTTTCATACTGAACGAGTCACGTGATTTTGATCTTTTCGCAGTTTTACAGCTTTACATGCAAAACATGTGCTTCACATGTTGTATCGAGGGTTGCTGTGTTCTAGCGATGTGTTTTCATTGGTTTGCGGACCTACAAACTACTTTTCATTCCAATTATTTCATTTTTAAATTTGTAAAGTTTCTTTTGGCCGTTAGTATATTTAGGCTAACCATCTCATAATAAAATGTATTTTCACGGTCAGATACAAAACTCTACAAACAAAACGTTAGTTCAGAACACCTGGTGTCATCACTGATTTCAATGGTCCGTTCATATGTCTTCCACAGCTATTCCGACCGTTTCACCAAAGGGAATATAAAGTAGAATCAAGACTTGGTATTCTTTTGTACTGATGTTTTATATTCCTCGTTCTCACGTGTACATGTACTGACTCACACTATTGTATTGTTCTAGGCGGCTTCTACACAATAAAGACAACCAAAGGCCTTAGGATCGTAGGTCTGAACACTGTCCTCTACTATACCGCAGATAAACTGACCCCAAAATTGACAGACCCTGCTGGACAGTTCGCCTGGTTGGAGGAAGTTTTTCAGAACGCCACGAATGCCGGGGAGAAGGTATACCTGCTATTTGTCGTCTAGTTATCAGTGAGTGAATGACAATTTAACTAAATATAATTCACGTATATTGGGACGCAACTAAGACTGTACATTTTTATAAATGAAACACAAATCCAACGCAATATCTAAAAGAAAATTTGTTATACATATTCAGACATTGCAGCCATTATTGTTAAAGCAACCTGTTATAAGCAAACAGCAACCAAAGCTACGACACCTCTCTGGGGATCATATGGACTTACGGTACCTCTGTTCTTGCATGATACTCCTGCAGCTGGATGTACGCCATCACTTTAGTACCAGATGGGCGTATGCTATGCTGGCCAATTTCTTCATAAATCTTGTGGATTCGGTTGATTTCATGCATGACTGATTATGATCAATTTGCCTTTGATACGAATTATGTGTCACACGCGGAAACAATATTGATATGCAATGAGGAACAGTGTGTCGCGGTGATATGTTGGCATAATGCCAGATATCAGGCGACATTAAGCACCGGAGAACAGGTGCATGGATGGCCGTTCTCAAAAGGCTTCAAGCTGTCTCTTAACGGTTTCTGAGACTTGGGTCGTACCCAACTTTTAAGTATAAATTACATGTGGCGAGGCATGTCCTAAACAATCCTCTGCTCACCCAAAAGAGACTGGGTATATTGCTGGGTAGGATAAACAGTGTGAACAAGGGTGAACAGAACATTTTAGGTCCTTCTAGATCTGATTTGTTTGTGGGTTGTTTAACGCCGCAGCAAACAATATTCCAGTTATATGGTGGTGGTCTGTATCCGACTAACCAGTGATCAACAGCATGAGCAACGATCGACGCAGTTGAGATACGATGACCTGTCCACCAAGTGCGCCTTCTGAGGTGGCATCTTGGACTGTTTACTCCAAGAAGAGCTGAGAATGTGTTTCAAGTGCACAAAGACTGGGTTCATAATAATTTAGAGTTCACATTGTTGCTTGCTTCTGCCTCCTGGCGTGTCATATTCAAAGGCACAATGTCACGCTGTTTCGACAATATTTTGGCCTATATTTTATATCTTTGAGGCATATGCTTCCAGTTGATGCAATAGAAGATCTATTATCCCTTACGACTTGCCTGAAATCGATAGTTGAAAACTTCGAGGCGAATAGCTTCGAACCAGAGAACACTTACCATATATGGTATGTAAACAATTGCTCCGTACATCGAAAAATGTCGCACGCGGTGTTGTCGGTGTTTGCCGAACTGGTTTTCAATCACAAGTTGTGTGTAGGATATTCGTAAAGGGATATAACTCTATGGGATTCGTTTGAAAATGTTCGGCTAGTAGAGGGCGGGAGAGACGATGATTTAATGCAACGTTGCATTAATTCTTTCGAACTTTTTAATTTAGTACTGTAATCTGCATACGTAATTTTGGAATGAATAAAGTATGGTAGCTTTCCCGGGGGCTTTATTTTTAGAGATAGTGCCTTTAAGGTTCCAGTTAACCTTTTCATGCACGTCGTAACAAGAACTGTGTTTCTTGTTGCTGTCACAAATTTGGAGATTTTGCTAACATGACTTTTTTATTCTCCTATCGTATCTATATTGAGTGCCTGTTCGGCTTCCTGCTCCTGTAGGTAACAGTTGTGCTTATCACTTATCATTGAAACTTTCCACTCATGTCAATAATGTAACAGTGATAATGTAACAGTAAAACAAAAATCAAAGCGTTATGTGCACTCGTCTTTTTGTTTGTGTTAGCACCTGTATTGTTGCTGTCTCTATAACTGTATTCATGGGGATTTTTAGATCGTTTTGTGAAGAGTTCGTGAGAGTATTATGTTACGATTCTTTTAGCAATGTTCCAGCTACATCACGACTGGTGACATAATAAAGTTTCTTCAAAAGATGTTCAGGATCATGTTAGTTAGTAAGATATTGATATATCGTTTTCAAATAGTTTTCGTCTCTTCCTGCAGGTCATGCTGACTGCCCACGTGCCCCCCTGGTATTAAGGTCCCGGGTAAGGTTCTGTGGTTCTACGAGCAATTCAACACCAGATTGCTTGACCTTGTCCAGAAATACTCGGACGTCATCCCTGCGATGTACTTCGGACATGACCATGCTGATGGTCTCAAGCTGGTACTGAAGAAGGATGGTAGGTCCCTTAAATATTCTATGAGGAACAGAATCCCTAGCAAATGCTGTAATGCAGTTTGAAACTATGCCTTGTGGTCTGTGACCTTTAGAAAATGGACATCTTGTGAGTGAGTTTAGTTTTACGCCGCTGTTAGCGATATTCGAGCAATATCACGGCGGGGGACACCAGCAGTGTTTTTTTCACATTGTTCACATGTGGGGCAGCGAACCCGCGGCTTCGACAAAAGCATTGATCACTATGGCTACTCCAACGCCCCTGACATTGTGTGATATACTAAGAGAAACAAATAAAGGAACACAGGAAAATTCAAGTGTTCCTTTAAACAATTTCAGTTTTCATCACCAGCTTTGAATAACGTTGTGGGAGAAACCCTGAGAATAAATATAAGAACACTGCCATGAAGTGCTGTTCCCTTATTTGTTTCCCTCAGTATATAATGATATATCTCCATGCCATTTTGCACTTTGCGTTTGTTCGATTGTTGTTAAAAACGGCACTCGGCAATATTCTAGGCATATGACGCCAGTCTGTAAATAATCTAATCTGGAACAGTCTCTTGCCAATATGTAATTGGAAAAATTACTATTATGTTAAAATGTGTACATAAAAGTGACTTTACTTTCGAGTGTGATTTTGTGTATTGGATTTATCTGAATGTGTTAACATGTTTTCGTGGCAATATGTCTGAAATAAAGCTGACGGACGTTAAATTGTAACCGACAGCCATTTGTTACACTTTATAGCTGCAACTGTAATCTGCAAAAGGTGAGTGGGTGAGTGAGTGAGTTTTAGTTTTACAACGCATGCAGCAATATTCCAGCTATATGGCGGCGGTCTGTAAATAATCGAGTCTGGACCAGACAGTCCAGTGATCAACATCATGAGCATCAATCTGCGCAAGTGGGAACTGATGACATGTGGCGGTCTCTAAATAATCGAGTCTGGATCAGATCGTCAACAGCATAAGCATCGATCGGTTAGGATACAATGACATATGTCAACCAAGTCAGCGAGCCTGACCACCCCATCCCGTTAGTCGCCTCTTACGACAAGCATAGTCGCCTTTTGTGGCAAGCATGGGTTGCTGAAGACCTATTCTACCCCGGATCTTTACGGGTCGTGCAAAAGGTAGCTTGACAGAACAAAACATCAGGTGCAAAATGGTACAAGGGCGGGAGATTTTATGACACAGTAAGCTACGGTTATAACAAACCCAAAGGAACCAGCGATTTAAGTTCGTTATAATCTTAGTTTATCAATGCATTTCGGCTACATTATGCAAGTGGCGGGACCCAATAAGAGTTGTTTTTCAGAGAGTTTGTTGTATTCGTGTTCCTTATAAAGGTATGGGCGGTGGGGTAGCCTAGTGGTGAAAGAGTTCGCTCGTCACGCTGAAGGTCCGGTTTCGATTTCCCACATTGGTACTAATGTGTGATGCCAATTTCTGGTGTCCCCCGCCGTGATATTGCTGAATATTGCTAAAAGCGGCGTAAAAACCATATTCACTCACTCCTAATAAAGGTAATTTGTGTTCATTTTCTTTCCAGGGACACCGGGTGTTCCAATGTTCATCGCACCATCGGTGACACCCTGGCGCTACAAGAGCAGAACAGAGTCGGGTGCCCCACACAACCCAGCCATCAGACTGGTGAAATACAATCAGCAAACTGGCGAGGCCCTAGATTATATTCAGTACTACATGAATCTAACAGAGAGCAACGAGGTCAACGCGTCGACGTGGAAGGTCGCATACGACGCCAGCACAACCTACCGCGTCAGCGACCTAGCAGCTGCATCTGTCAGCAGGGTTGTCCAGCAGATGAGCACAGACAGAAACCTTCTGAACAATTACATCCGATTCAATACCGTTCTTGCTAATGGTAATTCAACAGTCGATGAATGTGATGCAACCTTGTAGAGCTGAGTATATTTGTAGTTTCACTCAACATACCCGTGATCAGTTTAATATTTGTGTCACCATTCAAATGAAGGGTGTGTTGATCGGCTAACTTTGTCCTTTCATTAAGATGGACCAAAGCATGTCAAGAGATTTATTCGAATAAACGGTTTATGGTACGTTGTTTATGAAGATTAAAAAAATAAAGAACCATGTTTTGTTATCATGTGCTGCATTTATCAACTATACACAAGTGACAAAATTCTTTCCACATACATAAGAAATCTCGGTAGTGTAATACCTTCATGAACGTGTTTACGAATCAAATAGTGATGATACCACGTAATCGTTACAAAAAGAGATTATATTCCAGAGTGTGTGTAAACATTTCCTAAAGACTACATCTATGTCTGTTCAAGGGGCAACCTTTGGGGTTTTTTAGGAAAGCAGATGCCACGGAAACAACAAATGCCATATTTTAACGTGTTTAGGTATGATGCCGCCGAGGACTGAACCACGAAATTTCAATCAAATGTATCTAAGGAATGAAGGCAACGTGTTTGTTGAACAACATGGCGACAGTCCCAGAGACAGTCAACATTCAATAACACGCGTGGATTTGGTTTCTGGGCAGTACGAATTAGTCCCTTTATCCATTCCCTGTGCACGGTAAGTTTAGTATTATTCCACGACGGGGGCACACGTGGGGACTCAAATAGATAGAAGCAAAAAAAACCTTTCCACATCCATAAGAAATCTCAGAGTCGATTGTATACTCCCCATCAAAAGTTTAGACTCACTAGTGTAAATGTAGCCTTTTACTTCAGTCAACTGTCCTGAACTAGATTTGATAAAATAATCCATACAGTTTCAAGCTACTGTTTTTACATGAGCTGATGTACTGTAAAACAAATTCGAGACGTTGAACAGTTTATTGTCATGTGTTCAATAAATGATGAAACTTGGTGAAAAATGGCGTCTTTTTTATCAAAACTTTACACCCAATCGCAGCTGTTCACATGCACGATATTTGTACATGCTTTCCAGCAATTTGATGCAGGATCCTCGTGCAATTAATCTGCATAAGGTTTGCAGATGTTTCCCCCAAGTTAGTGGAGAAATGTATCTTCGTTGTAACCATATGTACATACATAACATATAGTGATTGATTTAAGCGAGTCTAAATTTTGATGGGTAGTATATATACAATTCTGACTGTATCATCATGAGTGTGTATTTGTAGCTACGGTATTATAGCAGTACGATGTTGTTTGTAAACAATAGAATCTGGCACAAACAGGCAGTGATGGTCACCATTCGATACGATGACAGAGCATGCGTGTTTGTGAATCACTATCACGTTAGTGAAGTTACCAGCTGTTCGCAAAACCCTGTCTTCAACCAGACGAGCGAACGCTTTAACCACTGAGACATCCCACCGCCCAGAGTTAAGAGAATGCTCTTGAAGCAGAACACTACGTTTGTGTGAAGAAACTTGTGCACCAATGCTGTCGAGGAGTAACCTATCTTCCACGCAAGTACTAGTTTGTCGTTTGATAAAGACATAATACCAATTATCTACGCTATCAACACTGGATGTGGAACAGTTCTGTTCCAAGAGGACAGTAACGGCTGAGTTGCTATCCTCAAACGTTTAACCGTCACCAGCGTAACGTCCTTCATATAATGCGTGAAATCTCCTTATCAGCGCGTAACGATTGAGCTTCTTGCGTGAGGAAGACAACCCTGAGATCACACATTTCTGAGGGCGATGGGGTAGCCTAGTTGTTAAGGCGTTCACTCGTAACGCCGAATATCCGGGTCCGATTCTAAAGCATACGATACAGTTTCCGAATCCATTATGGTGTCCCCCACAGTTTAAATCGGCGTAAAACCATACAGACACAAAGTTTGCAGATCATCCTTGAATTTTCTCAAAAAAGGTTAATATTTATTCAGTAATTTTATAACAACACAGTTTCACATTATATGTGCAGTGGGTTACAAAGAACCTCTTTCATGAAACACCCGAAACCGTTCTTCATGACTGGTTGGTTGCTTTTTGTGCAGAGATATTCCAGTTATATGGAGAACGCCTGTAAATAATCGAATCTGGACCAGAGAATCCAGTGATCAACACCATGAGCATCGACCTACTCAATTAGGATACGATGACATGTATCAGCGAGCCTGACGAGACTAACATTGGGTGCTGCTGAAGATCAATTCTAACCCGGATTTTCAGGGGTCCCGTTCTTTATGAAAGGATGTAATTGTGCGTATAATCTCATTAACTAATCATTGAAAGAATTGTTCTTAAAACAGTCAATAATCCACATCATACGTTGATCCCAGTGTTTGGGATCTTTCTCCCAACCAACCATGCCGAAGAAGACATCAACGTCATGATATTCCTTTTCGGGTCGCGAACACTCTTCCCAGGAAATGACCTCAATTCCAACCTTCTTCCATGTGGACATCAAATCATCTTTCGACATCCCAAAACTGCTGAACCGCTTTGATCCCACTGTGTAGAAAGTTCCTCCCAAACATCCAAATATGACCAAGTGACCACCAGGATTCAACATACCGACCATATTCCCGGCGTATTCTTCATAGGAGGCCAGATCTGTGGCAGCTGCTTCCAGACACAGGGATGATGTGATGATGTCGACCTTCGGAAGGAAGTTGGTCGAAAAGGTGTTCTTGTCCCTAATGTCGCAGTGTAGAATCCTAACTATCTTGTCTCTTATACTTGCCTCTCTCTCGGGTATATCAGTTTTGCTGTTCATTAAAAAAGGTCACACAAAAGTATACCGGGTGTTCCCAAGTACGTGTTCTTCATGTAACAGTTATTAAAAGAGATGCCAATTTGATCACTGAAACAAACACTGCAATATTGGGTCTACGTTAAGTGGGAAATTGCATGGGACATAATTTATATTATTGATATGCAAGAGTGGGATATGCTTACCATCAAACTTAGTCACTGGCTGTTGTTACCCTTATCCCCACAAAGATAACACGCGATTATAACTCACAGAGAAACCTCTCAGTGTTTAGCCAAATATTCTGCGCCTTCAGAGCGGTTCTGCTGTGTATAAACAGAGGAACCCCCGGCTAAATTGTATTGGGAATAATACCATTCTTTCCCGTTTAATGGGGTCTTATTGTGCACGTGTCATTCAAATATAGTGTCAGCGAGTACGGGTTGGTATCACATGTGTCCTAATAAAACTGTTACACATATGAATCTGAATACATCCATGCCTCTCACTCGCATAAATACAGGCAGTTGAGCTGCTCTGATCCTTAATGACATCGACGGACATAGTCAACCGATACGCTATGTTTCATGTTAATGTACATTTCCTAATTCCTAATAAAACATGGGTGCCTGATGTAATTAGATCTACAAGCACCATGGTTTTAAACTCGTCTACAACGAGAACAACCGAACTTGCAATAATATCTTCAGTCACTGAAGATTTTGATTTGCCTGTTTTTCCACAGATATTATACAGTTTTACAGTCACCTTTAATTCATCCTAGTGTTATATTAATGAAGTGCCAACTCACTCATTGATATAATAAAATAAATATTATTTTTTAGTTCTTGAGCTCAACATGTAACAGCAAAATATCCCCAAATTCTAAATTAATAAAAACAAATTATGTACTTGCCTTTTCCCTTCTAGTTTGAGTACAATTTCAAAGACTTCATCAAAACTGGACTTCAAAGATCCGTCGTACCATTGCTTTAAGAAGTCCCTGTTACTCTGGCAGAACTTTGCCAAGAAGATGTTGTCACAGTGTTGAGCTGCGCTGATAATGGTATGTATTGTGGGGCCTGTCCCAATATCCAAGAGCGTCTTTCCTTTGATAGTACCTGCAATTCAGTATTCCAATAGGTAATTGTGACCTTAAATGATCCATGATCCCCTACACGTTACTGTCACCACCAGTAACGATTCTCAGCCCATATTGAAGCGGTGGGGTAGCCAAGTGGTTACAGAGTTCGCTCGTCACGCCGAAGATCCGGGTTCAATTCCCCACATGGGTACAATGTGTGAAGCCCATTTATGGTGTCCCGATAACACACACACACACACCTCTGAACTAACGGATTATGTTCTGTCATTGCTTGAGCAGGGGCGGATACAGCTTTTTGAGAAAGAGGGGGGTCACACTATTGAGAAAGGAGGGGTGCACACTTCATTTCACCTGAGTTGCAATGACCATTTAACAAACTTTCAGACCAAAGGGGATGGGGGTGGGGGTTGCGCACACCCCTTCTGGATCCGCCTATGTTGAGGCATTGGTTTGGTATTCTGACAAGCATATAAACTGTATATGATCATAAACGTGCATTTCCTGTCTTTGCTTGAGACATTGGTTTGGTAATCTGACAAGCATATAATCTGTATACATATCATCATAAACGTGTATGTCCTGTCATTGCTTGAGACATTGGTTTGGTAATCTGACAAGCATATAAATTGTATATATATATCATCATAAACGTGTATGTCCTGTCATTGCTTGAGACATTGGTTTGGTAATCTGACAAGCATATAAATTGTATATATATCATCATCATAAATGTGTATGTCCTGTCATTGCTTGAGACATTGGTTTGGTAATCTGACAAGCATATAAATTGTATATATATATCATCATAAATGTGTATGTCATGTCATTGCTTGAGGCATTGGTTTAGTAATCTGACAAGCATATAAACTGTATACATATGATCATAAACGTGTATGTCATGTCATTGCTTGAGGCATTGGTTTAGTAATCTGACAAGCATACAAACTGTACATAGATGACAAAACTTTATGGATATTTAACTACTTTATTTTAACAATAGCGGCGTTTCGGTATAGGTTCTTATACCGCTTTCAAGCATATGGTATAAAACCCTATAACGAAACGTCGCTATTGTTAAAATAAAGAAGTTGAATATCCATAAGGTTTTGTCATCTCTATACCAGCAACTTCTAGAATGCCACTCAAACAAAACAAAAACTGTACATATATCATCATAAACGGATATCTCATGTTATTGCTTGAGGCGTTGTTATGGTATTCTGACAAGCGTATTTATAAAGTGTATATCCCCATAAACATTTTTACCTGAGTCAAATGCGTTGTGACATTTGGTCAACATGGAAGACAATGGGCTCTCAAAGCCGGGCTGGGGCTTTATAGCTACCATTTGATGTAGGTACGAGAGTGGCTCGAAATGTGTAGTGTAGTCGTCGCAGCTGAACATTTCTATATCTGCCATTTTTCGATCTTCTTACTTGTTTGCAGGTACTTCTAACTGAAATATCAAGGCAAATTAGTACTAGTCGTTGACGTATAAAATGTCCATTAATGACTGTTGAAGTAAATCCGATGCCAAGACAACACAAATTCATATTTCAAACATAGTTTTTATTTGGTATGCATATTTCTCAACAATTTGGTTATTTACTGACTTGCGCTAATACATTTGCAAGATGTCTGCTATCATTTCCTGTCCACCAGGGAACTCATACACAAGTGTGTTCTCTTGCAGAGTGAGTGAGTTTAGTCTTACGCTACACTCAGCAATATTCCAGCTAGATCTGTCTGGCGGCGGTCTGTAAATAATCGAGTCTGGACCAGAAAATCCAGTGATCAACAGCATGAGCATCGATCTGCGCAAGTGGGAACCGATGACGTGTCAACCAAGTCAGCGAGCCTGACCACCCGATCCCGTTAGTCGCCTCTTACGACAAGCATGGGTTACTGAAGATCAGTATTCTGTATCCTAACCCGGACCTTCACGGGTCTCTCTTGCAGAATAGCTATATTACTCTGAGAGGATATGTAAGACCACATCATTCAAATCACTTTAGTTGTAGTGTATTTGTGATTTCATTGTCTCTATTTATCCAGTATCGTGGTCTAACTATCAGGCGATCTGGAACCTGATGTTTAATTGTGTTGTTGAATAATAATTTATCATCTAAAATGGTCTCATACTGCTTTTAGTACAATATGTATATTCTAGCATTTATGCAGTGGCATAACTATTACAAACGTGACGTCAAATTTCAACTCACTCATTCCCGCAAACTATCGTTCAAATCGCGAGGTATTGAGAAGTACGTGAGTTGAACTACTCCGTTTTGTATGTTGTTGGCGAATAAAGTTATGTCAATGTATAGACTGTCTGCATAGGCCTCACCTATACCATACGAAATTAATTCAAAAGCTTTTTGTACAATTTACGTGCGTTCAAACTTTATAAGATACCGTTTAACCATTTGTCCTGTCAAAAAATGTATATTCTCTCAGTCAGCAGATTCTCATTTCAAATATCGACTTGACGTCATCAATACATTATTTTCATTTCTACAAATCGAATAAGTGATTTGAATAAATAAACTTACCAAGAATTCAAGCAAAGATATTCAGATAGAACCCTTGATATACGGCTGTATCAATACTATTCACAATGCCTCACCTCTCGGGACCCTGAAAGTAAATTGCTTACACGATATCCTTCAATATATATATATCACAAAAATATCCAAATTAATGAATTTCAAATAGCCAGTCTGCAACATGTCTCGATATTTACTCCATTTAATGAGTGACAAATTAAACACGAGCAACCATTGCTGTAGAATGGGCATTGTTTACGTACATTAATAAAACCATCTTTGTACGGTCTAGTGAACTTAAGTCCACACCTGCTGGTCAATGTCCAGCGGTCTGCTTCTGAGTTTTAACCTTTCGACCTTGTTTTTAGGTATGAAGCATTTGGTGATAGTTGGTAGCAAGGTAAGCGATATTGTAAATGGCTGCTCAAGCATTTAAATTAGGAAACAGCCGGTAACCCGACCCTTGTTTGAGTCGAGAACCTGGGTCGCCTATTTTCTGGACATATATTTCACCATATTTTCTCTGTGAACTGTCTGTCTGTTTACATTGTGCATTGATCAGTGATTGTATGTGCTTTAAAAGACTGTTGACAAAATTAAATTGACAGCAAAATAAATAAAAAAATAAATAAACAGTTGCAGATTTAATATAATACATGTTGTGGCTGTGGTTTAAAAAGGACTCCCAAACAACACTTGAAACTTGATATTTAATTACATCACAGGTGAATTCACCGGTTTGTCTCAAACCAGAAAACTTGTGAATAGAATATGAAGAGTAGCCTCCCTTGCATCACCTGGTACGACATGCCGCATTTACATATAAATGTACATTGTACATGAAATTTACAACTCTGTGTCTCTCCCTATGTGTATATTGATATATGCTAGTGAATAAAGAATAATACAGAAATAAAAGCAATATTCGTAAACTTCCGGTTAACGACAACCTTTGAGTCTACTTCTCAGCACGTGTATTTCATCACAGAATGAACTCAAATCCCGAACACTTGTAGCTGTGGTATAATATAACCGTCCAAGATGCAACATGATGACGTCAGGATAGTTTATGTTCATATACCGTTTCTTTGTAAGAAATAAATTTCAAAACAGCTGTCCAAAAGAAAGAGCATACATTATCTGTGACAGCGAGTTAAACGTAAACGTAAAGCATTGAACCTACCCAATTTAAAATATTCCAGAACCAATGTGAAGGGACTGAAAAAAACTATGTTCCGATACTAAGGAACTGTTTGCTAAGTTGTTTCAGTCATTGTCACAGGTATGGCAGACAATGTTACATGCCAATATGGGTAATGATGGGGTACCTTCCTGTACAAACGTACCCTTGGAAGAGCGGACATTACCATGATTTCCAGCATGAAGCTGATTTAAGATAATAAGTTAAATGTGATCAGTGAAAACACTACCATGGGCACTGTTACAAATATTTAGACCTGACTTCAGGACAAGTCAGATAAAGTTACATTTTTCCGAATCTGATCATGATCTAAAAGCAGCCTGATCATTGTGAGTATGTATTGTAGGGGTTGAACAAAATAAATGGGTGCATCTCGACCCCAAAGAATTTTCGTGAGTCACAAACTGAAATATATGGAATGACCTTTGGTAATTAGATTTTGACTTTGTTACTAAAAGCAGCTGCTACAAACGTTTCTACAGCAATCATTTCCTTCTGAACCTGCTCTAAATATTCATATTGACGAAGTTTTGACACGATTTTATGTAGATATGCATCTAACCATATATGTGAATAGCTATAAATGATAGGCAGGTTCAGTTATTAGTGTTGGGAATTGGAAACTAAATCCACTGTCAGTTATAGGAGGATTATGATGAACAAATTATGATTATAATAAAAATATATACATTTTTAAAGTAATCACCAATTTTAAGGGTATTTCCCCCGGTTTTTTTCTAATTAATTTTTTTTATAACTAATGCTGCAATGATATGCAAGAAAGACACCGGAATTGTAATTAAAATAAAAGTGGTTAAAATTTTACAATGTGCATAGCTTTACCCTGTTGAGCTCACGTTTCTTCGTGAATATTTATCAAATTTGAATATTGCTAAAAGCGGCGTTAAAACCATATTCACTCACTCCTATTAAAGGTAATGTAGGTATATTTTTCTTCCAGGGACACCGGGAGCGGCGTTAAAACCATATTCACTCACTCCTATTAAAGGTAATGTAAGTATATTTTTCTTCCAGGGACACCGGGTGTTCCAATGTTCATCGCGCCATCATTGACACCCTGGCGCTACAAGAGTAGAACAGAGTCGGGTGCCCCACACAACCCAGCCATCAGACTGGTGAAATACAACCAGCAACCAGCAAACTGGCGAGGCCCTAGACTATATTCAGTACTACAGAGAGCAACGAGGTCAACGCGTCGATGTGGAAGGTTGCATACGACGCCAGCACGACCTACCACGTCAGCGACCTCACAGCTGCATCTGTCAGCAGGGTTGTCCAGCAGATGAGCACAGACAGAAACCTTCTGTATAATTACATCCGATTCAATACCGTCCTTGCTAATGGTAATTCAACAGTCGATGAATGTGATGCAACTTGTAGAGCTGAGTATATTTGTAGTTTCACTCAACATACCCTTGATCAGTTTAATATTTGTGTCATCATTCAAAGGAAGGGTGTGTTGATCGGCTTACTTTGTCCTTTCATTTAAGATGGATTTGTTTCAAATTGATGTCTTGAACGAACTCATGTCAATAGGTTTATTCGAATGAACGGTTTATGGTACGTTGCTTATGAAGAACCATGTTTTGGTACGTTGCAAATAAAGAACCATGTTTTGTTATCATGTGCTGCATTTATCAACTTTACACAAGAGGTAAAATTCTTTCCACTTACATAAGAAATCTCGGTAGTGTAATACCTTCTATATCATGAACATATGTTTACGAATCAAATAGTGATGATACCACGTAATCGTTACAAAAAGAGATTTGTTCCAGAATGTGTGTAAATATTTCCTAAAGACTACAACTATCTCTGTTCAAGGGACAATCTTTGTTTTTCTTTAGGAAAGCAGATGCCATGGAAACAACAAATGACATATTTTAACGTGTTTAGGTATGCCACCAGGGACTGAACCACGAAATTTCAATCAAATGTACCTAAGGAATGAAGGCAACGTGTTTGTTGAACAACATGGCGACCAGTCCCAGAAACAGTCAACATTCAATAACACGCAAGAGACACTTCTGATGGAAAAGTTGCTTTGGTTTCTGGGCAGTACTAATTAGTCCCCTTATCCATTCCCTATGCACGCTAGGTTTAGTATTATTCCACGACGGGGCACACGAGGGGACTCAAATAGATAGAAGCAACAAAACCTTGTCCACATCCATAAGAAATCTCAGAGTCGATTGTATTTACAATGTTTACTTTATCATGAGTGTGTATTTGTATCTGCAGTATTACAGCTGTACGATGTTGTTTGTAAAGAACAGAATCTGGCCCAGACAATCCAGTGATGGTCACCATTCGAAACGACGACAGAGCATGCATGTTTGTAAATCACTATCACGTTAGTGATGATACCAGCTGTTCCCAAACCCTTGTCTTCAACCTGACGAGGGAACGCTTTAACCACTAAGCCATCCCACCGCCCAGAGTTAAGAGAATGCTCTTATAACCTATCTTCCAAACAAGTACTAGTTTGTCGTCTGTTAACGCCATAATACCAATTATCGACGCTATCAACACTGGATTTGTTACTGCGTGAAATCTCCTTATCAGGAAATCTCTTTATCAGCGTGTAACGATTGAGCTTCTTGCATCAGGAAGACAACCCTGAGATCACACATTTCTGAGGGCGATGGGGTAGCCTAGTTGTTAAGGCGTTCACTCGTAACGCCGAATACCCGGGTCCGATTCTAAAGCATACGATGCAGTTTGCGAATCCGTTATGGTGTCCCCGGCAGTTTAAATCAGCGTAAAACCATACAGACACAAAGTTTGCAGATCATCCTTGAATTTTCTCAAAAAAGTTAATATTTATTCAGTAATTTTATAACAACACAGTTTCACATTATATTTGCAGTGAGTTACATAGAACCTCTTTCAATTAAACACCCGAAACCGTGCTTCATGACTGGTTGGTTGCTTTGTTGTGCAGAGATATTCCAGTTATATGGAGAACGCATGTAAATAATCGAATCTGGACCAGAGAATCCAGTGATCAACACCATGAGCATCGACCTACTCAATTAGGATACGATGACATGTATCAGCGAGCCTGACGAGCCGATCCAGTTAGTCGCATTTTGCGACTAACGTGGGGTGCTGCTGAGGATCAATTCTATCCCGGAGTTTCAGGGGTCCTGTTCTTTATGAAAGGATGTAATTGTGCGTATAATCTGATTAACTAATCATTGAAAGAATTGTTCTTAAAACAGTCAAAAATCCACATCACACGTTGATCCCAGTGTTTGGCATCTTCCTCCCAACCATGCCGAAGAAGACATCAATGTCATTATAATCCTGCTTGGGTTGCGAACACTCGTTCCAGGACATGATCTCAATACCAACCTTCTTCCATGTGGACATCAAATCATCTTTCGACATCCCAAAACTGCTGAACCGCTTTGACCCCACTGTGTAGATAGTTCCTCCCAAACATCCAAAGATGACCAAGTGACCACAAGGATTCAGCATCCCGACCATATTCCCGGCACATTCTTCATAGGAGGCCAGATCCGTGGCAACTGCTTCCAGACACAGGGATGATGTGATGATGTCGACCTTCGGAAGGAAGTTGGTTGAAAAGGGGTTCTTGTCCCTAATGTCGCAGTGTAGAATCCCAACTATCTTGTCTCTTATACTTGCCTCTCTCTCGGGGATATCAGTTTTGCTGTTCGTTAAAAAATGTCACACAAAAGTATAATTTGACATGATACCGGGTGTTCCCAAGTACGTGTTCTTCATGTAGCAGTTATTAAAAGAGATGCCAATTTGATCATGTTACATTCCGTAATTCCTAATAAAACATGGGTGCCTATTGTAGTTATATCTACAAGCACCATGGTTTTAAACTCGTGTGCAACGAGAACAACCGAACTTGCAATAATATCTCCAGTCACTGAAAATATTGATTTGCCTGTTTTTCCATAGATATTATACAGATTTACAGTCACCTAGTTTTCACACTAGTGTTATTTTAATAAAGTGCCATGGTTACAATGTGTGAAGCCCATTTCTGGTGTCCCCCGCCGTGATATTGCTAGAATATTGCTAGAAGCGGCGTAAAACTCGACTCACTCATTGATATAATGAAATAGATATGAAACAATGACTGAAACAACTTAGCAAATAGTTCCTTAGTATCGGAACATAGTTTTTTTCAGTCCCTCTGGAATATTTTAAATTGGGTAGGTTCAATGCTTTACGTTTACGTTTAACTCGCTGTCACAGATAATGTATGCTCTTTCTTTTGGACAGCTGTTTTGAAATTATTTCTTAAAAAGAAACTGTATATGAACATAAACTATCCTTACGTCATCATGTTGCATCTTGGACGGTTATATTATACCACAGCTACAAGTGTTCGGGATTTGAGTTCATTCTGTGATGAAATACACGTGCTGAGATGTTTCTATCTGAAGAAGACTCAAAGGTTGTCGTTAACCAGAAGTTTACGAATATTGCATTTATTTCTGTATTACTCTATACTCACTAGCATATATCAATATACACATAGGGAGAGACAAAGAGTTGTAAATATCTTGTACAATGTACATTTATATGTAAATGCGGCTTGTCGTGCCAGGTGATGCAAGGAAGGCTACTCTTCATTTTCTACTCACAAGTTCTCTGGTTTGAGACAAACCGGTGAATTCACCTGTGATGTAATTAAATATCAAGTTTCAAGTGTTGTTTGGGAGTCCTTTTTAAACCACAGCAACAACATGTATTAAATTAAATCTGCAACTGTTTATTTATTTATTTATTTATTTATTTGTTTGTTTATTTATTTATTGTGAAATATATGTCCAGAAAATAGGCGACCCAGGTTCTCGACTCAAACAAGGGTCGGGTCACCGGCTGTTTCCTAATTTAAATGCTTGAACAGCCATTTACAATATCGCTTACCTTGCTACCAACTATCACCAAATGCTTCATACCTAAAAACAAGGTCGAAAGGTTAAAACTCAGAAGCAGACCGCTGGACATTGACCAGTAGGTGTGGACTTAAGTTCACTAGACCGTACAAAGATGGTTTTATTAATGTACGTAAACATAGCCCATTCTACGGTAATGGTTGCTCGTGTTTAATTTGTCACTCATAAAATGGAGTAAATATCGAGTCATGTTGCAGACTGGCTATTTGAAATTCATTAATTTGGATATTTTTGTGATATATATATATTGAAGGATATCGTGTATGCAATTTACTTTCAGGGTCCCGAGAGGTGAGGCATTGTGAATAGTATTGATACAGCCGTATATCAAGGGTTCTGGTTGAATATCTTTGCTTGAATTCTTGGTAAGTATTTTATTCAAATCACTTATTCGATTTGTAGAAATGAAAATAATGTATTGATGACGTCAAGTCGATATTTGAAATGAGAATCTGCTGACTGAAAGAATATACATTTTTTGACTGGACAAATGGTTAAACGGTATCTTATAAAGTTTATTTCACGTTGAACGCACGTAAATTGTACAAAAAGCTTTTGAATTATTTTCGTATGGTATAGGTGAGGCCTATGCAGACAGTCTATACATTGACAAACTTTATTCGCCAACAACATACAAAACGGAGTAGTTCAACTCACGTACTTCTCAATACCTCGCGATTTGAACGATAGTTTGCGGGAATGAGTGAGTTGAAATTTGACGTCACGTTTGTAATAGTTATGCCAATGTATAAATGCTAGAATATACATATTGTACTAAACGTAGTATGAAACCATTTTAGATGATAAATTGCTATTCAACAAAACAATTAAAAATAAGGCTCCAGATCGCCTGATAGTTAGACCACGATACTGGATAAAAAGAGACAATGAAATCACAAATACACTACAACTAAAGTGATTTGAATGATGTGGTCTTACATATCCTCTCAGAGTAATATAGCTATTCTGCAAGAGAGACCCGTGAAGGTCCGGGTTAGGATACAGAATACTGATCTTCAGTAACCCATGCTTGTCGTAAGAGGCGACTAACGGGATCGGGTGGTCAGGCTCACTGACTTGGTTGACGCGTCATCGGTTCCCACTTGCGCAGATCGATGCTCATGCTGTTGATCACTGGATTTTCTGGTCCAGACTCGATTATTTACAGACCGCCGCCAGACAGATCTAGCTGGAATATTGCTGAGTGCAGCGTAAGACGAAACTCACTCACTCTGCAAGAGAACACACTTGTGTATGAGTTCCCTGGTGGACAGGAAATGATAGCAGACAACTTGCAAATGTATTAGCGCAAGTCAGTAAATAACCAAATTGTTGAGAAATATTCATGCAAAATAAAAACTATGTTTGAAATATGAATTTGTGTTGTCTTGGCATCTGATTTACTTCAACAGTCATTAATGGACATTTTATACGTCAACGTCTAGTACTAATTTGCCTTGATATTTCAGTTAGAAGTACCTGCAAACAAGTAAGAAGATCGAAAAATGGCAGATATAGAAATGTTCAGCTGCGACGACTACACTACACATTTCGAGCCACTCTCGTACCTACATCAAATGGTAGCTATAAAGCCCCAGCCCGGCTTTGAGAGCCCATTGTCTTCCATGTTGACCAAATGTCACAACGCATTTGACTCAGGTAAAAATGTTTATGGGGATATACACTTTATAAATACGCTTGTCAGAATACCATAACAACACCTCAAGCAATAACATGAGATATACGTTTATGATGATATATGTACAGTTTTTTTGTTTGAGTGGCATTCTAGAAGTTGCTGGTATAGAGATGACAAAACCTTATGGATATTCAACTTCTTTATTTTAACAATAGCGACGTTTCGTTATAGGTTCTTTTACCATATGCTTGAAAACGGTATAAGAACCTATACCGAAACGCCGGTTTTGTTAAAATAAAGAAGTTAAATATCCATAAAGTTTTGTCATCTATGTACAGTTTGTATGCTTGTCAGTTTAACCACCAATGCCTCAATGCCTCAACATACAATGACCGATACATACACATTTATGCTTGTGATATATTACCAAACAGTTTATATGCATCAGATTACCATAACCAATGTATGCTTGTCAATTACGAAACAAATGTCTCAAGACAGGACATACACGTTTATGATGATATGTATACAGTTTATATGCTTGTCAGATTACCAAACCAATGTCTCAACATAGGCAGGACATACACGTTGGATCCAAAGTTTATAGGCTTGCAGATTACCACAACCCAATGTCCCTAGAAAAGACCCCCAATCCCCTTCATATGTCTGAAAGTTTGTTAAATGACCATTGCAACTCAGGTAAAAATGAAGTGTGCACCCCTCCTTTCTCAATTTGTTAAATGTTGACCCCCCCTCTTTCTCAAAAGCTGTATCTTCCGCCCCTGCTCAAGCAATGACAGAACATAATCCGTTAGTTCAGCGGTGTGTGTGTGTGTGTGTTATCGGGACACCATAAACGGGGTTCACACGTTGTAGCCATGTGGGGAATTGAACCCAGATCTTCGGCGTGACGAGCGAACTCTTTAACCACTTGGCTACCCCACCGCCACAATATGAGCTGAGAATCGTTATTGGTGGTGACAGGAACGTGTAGGGGATCATGGATCATTTAAGGTCACAATTACCTATTGGAATACTGAATTGCAGGTACTATCAAAGGAAAGACGCTCTTGGATATTGGGACAGGCCCCACAATACATACCATTATCAGCGCAGCTCAACACTGTGACAACATCTTCTTGGCAGAGTTCTGCCAGAGTAACAGGGACTTCTTAAAGCAATGGTACGACGGATCTTTGAAGTCCAGTTTTGATGAAGTCTTTGAAATTGTACTCAAACTAGAAGGGAAAAGGCAAGTACATAATTTGTTTTTATTGATTTGGAATCTGGGGATATTTTGCTGTTACATGTTTAGCTCAAGAACTAAATAATATTTATTTTATTATATCAATGAGTGAGTTGAGTTTTACGCCGCTTCTAGCAATATTCCAGCAATATCACGGTGGGGGACAGAAATGGGCTGCACACATTGTAACCATGGCACTTTATTAAAATAACACTAGGATGAAAAAAAGGTGAATGTAAATCTGTATAATATCTGTGGAAAAACAGGCAAATCAAAATCTTCAGTGACTGAAGATATTATTGCAAGTTCGGTTGTTCTCGTTGTAGACGAGTTTAAAACCATGGTGCTTGTAGATCTAATTACATTAGGCACCCATGTTTTATTAGGAATTAGGGAATGTACATTAACATGAAACATAGTGTATCGGTTGACTATGTCCGTCGATGTCAATAAGGATCAGAGCAGCTCAACTGCCTGTATTTATGCGAGTGAGAGGCATGGATGTATTCAGATTCATATGTGTAACAGTTTAATTAGGACACATGTGATACCAACTCGTACTCGCTGACACTATATTTGAATGACACGTGCACAATAAGACCCCATTAAACGGGAAAGAATGGTATTATTCCCAATACAATTTAGCCGAGGGTTCCTCTGTTTATACACAGCAGAACCGCCCTGAAGGCGCAGAATATTTGGCTAAAGACTGAGGTTTTTGTGAGTTATAATCGCGTGTTATCTTAGTGTGATAAGGGTAACAACAACCAGTGACTAAGTTTGATGGTAAGCATATCCCTCACTTGCATATCAATAATATAAATTATGTCCCATGCAATTTCCCACTTAACGTACACCCAATATTGCAGTGTTTGTTTCAGTTAAAAACCATGGTGCTTGTACATCTAACTACATTAGGCACCCATGTGTTATTAGGAATTACGGAATGTACATTAACATGAACAAACTGGCATCTCTTTTAATAACTGCTACATGAAGAACACGTACATGTACTTGGGAACACCCGGTATCATGTCAAATAATACTTTTGTGTGACATTTTTTAATGAACAGCAAAACTGATATCCCCGAGAGAGAGGCAAGTATAAGAGACAAGATAGTTGGGATTCTACACTGCGACATTAGGGACAAGAACCCCTTTTCGAACAACTTCCTTCCGAAGGTCGACATCATCACATCATCCCTGTGTCTGGAAGCAGTTGCAACGAATCTGGCCTCCTATGAACAATGTGCTGGGAATATGGTCGGTATGTTGAATCCTGGTGGTCACTTGGTCATATTTGGATGTTTGGGAGGAACTTTCTACACAGTGGGATCAAAGCGATTCAGCAGTTTTGGGATGTCGAAAGATGATTTAATGTCCACATGGAAGAAGGTTGGAATTGAGGTCATTTCCTGGGAAGAGTGTTCGCGACCCGAAAAGGAATATCATGACGTTGATGTCTTCTTCGGCATGGTTGGGAGAAAGATCTCAAACAC